GAGAAACAAAACACTGCTCAAAATAAGACTAAATAAATAAGAGTGAAATAAATAAAATAAATAAATAAAAACACACCACAGTAATACCATGTAGGCATACATATATATATCATTGTAAGGGCCGGGGCGCGGTGGCTCAAGCTCTGTAATTCCCAGCACTTTGGGGAGGCCGAGAACGGGCGATCACCGAGGTCAGGAGATCGAGACTATCGCCTGCGCTAGACGTGGCTGAAACCCCGTCTCCAGGCTAAAAAAAAATAAAAAAAACTAGCCGGGCGTGGCTGGCGGACGCTGGTGGGTGCCGCAGGCTACTCCTGGAGGGCTGAGGCCAGGAGAATGCGCGTGAACCCGGGAGGCGGAGCGTTGCCCAGTGAAGCCTGAACTTGCCGCACTGCACTTCCAGCTTGGGCCTTTGACAGAGCCCGGAGACTCCGTCTCAAAAAAAAAAAAAAAAAAAAAAAAAAATAGGCGATGAGTACTGCTGAAAATCATAGTAGTAGATGGCGTGCATATAGTGCTACTAATCATTGTAGCTAATGTGAAGAAGATGGCAAGTTACGCGAGGAAAGAGAGTAGTAGTCGAGCGCCATCGACTTTAATGATGGCAGAGTTACATTCTGAGAAATGTGTCCGATTTAGGCCGATTCACCCCTGCAAAACGTCAGGTAAAGGCCGGCTGGTACTTTGATACGAAACCTAAATGGCTTAAAAGCCGCGATATGTAGGCTGCATGAGGTGACAGAAAGGCTACTGGAGCGTCGCCTTGTGAAGACTGTATAGAACCGGTGTTGTAGCGCATGTATCGTGCTACGGAAATAGCCGACGATGCAAACCTGACCGGAATACGAGGGGGTATGCTGTCGGGTGTAGTAATGCGTGAACATGGTAAGAAGGGCGTACGAGTAAAGAATACAGTTGTGGTACTGTGGAGAAACTGTTGCTATGGGACCATGATTGCCCTATGTAAAAATGGCAAGTAGAGAAAAAATATAGTCATGCATCACTTAATGATGGAGATACATTCTGAGAAATGTGTCATTAGGCGATTTCACCCTGCAAACGTCATGAAGTGTACTGATACAAACCTAAATGGTAAAGCCTGGCACACATATAGGCTATGAGATACAACCTACTACTCCTAAACTATAAACCTTTGTAGCATGTTACTGTACTGAATACCACATGCAACCACAATACAGGTATTTGTATATCTAAACATGTAAAAGGTACAGTAAAAATACAGTACTATAAATCTTATGGGACCATGATTGCATTATGTGACCCATCATTAACAGAGACATTATTATGTGACACATGTCATGACTCTACCTCCAGGGGAATATGCTAGAGTACAACCTGTGGTGATATTTATCTTGTAGGATCCTAAGTGCAGGCCATGAAATTCCAGTATTTGCTTTACTGGCTGCCTGGCGCCCACCCTTGCCATTTCCAACTTAGAGCTATCTACAAATATAAAAAGCATCACCTCAATGACTTCATTAAATCACAAGAAAAGCAATCAACAGACAGGGACAAGAGCAGTGCTCTGAGGCCAAAAATCTTTCCTGAGACAGGCAATGACCAGTATATTGAGGTCTACTGAGTTCAGCTGATTTGTCACCTACACATTCACTAGAACCAGATATCATAAGGAAGGTTTCTCATAGATGTTAAATATTAATAAAGGAGAGGTACAATATTTATAGTATACCTGCATGTTTCATTTACGATCTCAAATCCCCTTATTATAATATCTGTTCCATTCTTCCCAAGTGGACTATCCTTCCTCTTAATGAAAAATACAAAAGCAAAATGACCAGAAAAACACCTCTCATTACCATTTCTAAAATGCTTCCACAGACCTCCCAACAATGCCATGAGTGAAGAAATGTGGATGATATTATCTCTATTTTATAGATACATAATTTGAAGTTCACAAATTTTTTTAAAAACTTACCTAAGGGCACAAAGCTAGTAAGTAGAACTAGAGCTTAGAGCTTATATGCTGTGGGGCAGAACTCACAACATCTGATTTTTGTTTTGGTGCCCTTCCCAAAACAGCAGTTCTGGTTTTTGTCATATGTCCATCTGTTCTATGAAAAGTCCTCTCCATTCCTTTCCTACTTCAGATGTACCATTTATAAAGGCATACTTTGTTGCCCTTGGCATTTCTTGCAAACCTCAGCTCAGTTTCCTAAGAGAACTCTGGCAGGCTGGTTTCATTTACAAAAACTCCTTACATAAAACCTTGAAAATGCTTCACAATGCCCACAAAAATATGCAAGATTGACTAGTTGACCTCGTGGGATAAAGAATGAATGAACAATGCCATCAGTTCCAAGAAACAAGCCAACAATGCCTTTACTTGTGATTTGACAAGCATTCTTTTTGCAGCTTCAGTCATTTTGGAATTTTTATTTAAAAAAAAAAAAAAGTTTCTGGGTTGCATTAAGAGAAAATACCTTGTGGTAATTCTTAAGAAATTAACTAAATACATTAATTTTAGACTGTTAGTCTCCAACAACAAAAAAGTAACCTTTCCTATTTGAAAGAAAGAAAGGGAATCAACTGGAGAAAACAGAGGAAAAAACATTTCTAGAATATTAACTAAATCCTTAAAGTAAAGTGGTTTTAATTTATATGGCAGGCTTAGGGAGGAGAAAATGGGTAAAGGCAGGCACAATACCAAGGCCCATGAAACTCTGAAAACAAAACAGATTTATGGAGACAAAATGTACTGCAACTCAGGTTGGGTGCAGTGGCTCACACCTGTAATCCCAGCACTTTGGGAGGCCAAGGTGAGCGGATCACTTGAAGCCAGGAGTTTGAGACCAGCCTGGCTAATATAGTGAAATCCCATCCCTACTAACAATACAAAAAAATTAGGTGAATGTGGTGGTCTGTAATACCAACTACTCAGGAGGCTGAGGCACAAAAATTTCTTGAACCCAGGAGGTGAAAGTTGCAGTGAGCTGAGATCATGCCACTGCGCTCCAGACTGGATGACAAAGCGAGTCTGTCTCTGGAAAAAGAAAAAAAAAGAAAAAAAAAAAAAAAGGATCCTAACTCATAAGTAGAAAACATGAGCCAGGTTTGATATCAGTTTAATCAACAATAGCAATGTAAGTACTGGAAGAACGTCACAAAGAGTTCATTATGAAACATATAAAAAGCCCAAGAGACTTACTGAACCAACTAAGCAATGTGGTCATGAAAGGTGGTCTCTACTGTGGATAAGAACTGACCAACAAGGCCTCACCATCTCCAGTGGCTCTGCAGTCCTTTACTCTGAGTCCACCACTCACCAAACAACCGTTTGATTATTAATTTGATTTCCCAGTACTTATTAAGAGCCATCAGCCCACCTTCTTATGGAGCCAGTGAAGGAGATTCAAAGGCAACAGTTTAGAAAAACAGAGGAGCAACAGGACATTGCAGAGATGCAGAGGTCTAAATAAGGGAAAATGTCTCCCCTGGCAGAACTGAGCCACCTCTGTCTGCCTCAGAGAGTTGGGAGGGAGCCTGGAGACGATGGACCACGTGAGCTCTGCTATCTTTCTCTAGTTCCAATCTTTTTTATCTATCTATAAAGGAAGGGAGATGAGTCAGGTGTGACCTCAAAACACCATTTCAACTTAGCCACTGTATTTCTAAATACAAAAATAATTATTGGCTGAGCGGCTCATGTCTGTAATCCCAGCACTTTGGGAGGCCGAGGTGAAAGAATAGCTTGAGCTCAGGAGTTCAAGACCAGCCTGTGCAACATAGCATGACCCCATCTCTGCAAAAAACTTAAAATTTAAAAATCAGCTGGGTGTGGTGGTGTATGCCTGTAGTCTCACCTACTCAGGGAGGAGGAGGATGAAGCAGGAGGATGGCTTGAGCCCAGGAGGTCGAGGATGCAGTAAGCCACAGCCAAATCACTGCACTACAGTCTAATGTGCTTCTCTTAGTTTAATTGAGGACCTAACACTGTACTAAATTCTAAGGTAGGGATATATGAGATTCCTTCTACCTCCAAAAACGTATAATCTAGTCCAGATGATTGGGTATAAACACTAAAGTGTCAAAAATATGTTTAGGTATCAAAAGAGTGAAAACAATAAATGCAAAAGGAATCTGAATGTAGAGAAACCTCAATGTGTTCTGAAATACACTGCGAAGATTTCATGAACAAGACTGGCCTAAGCCAACTATTTACAACAATATCCAAAAAAAAAAACCTGACAAAACAAAGCAAATAAAAATATAAAGATATGAGACTAAGAAATGTTGAGTTCTCTAGAGGATGAAATACAGTTTGAAAGATAACACAACATTACATATAAAGTCTGGCCTCTGGAGCCAAGGAAAGATGAACTGAATTTGAATATCAACTGCTATTTACCATGCTAACTATTTAACACCTCTGAGCCTTTTTTTGGTTATTAAAATGAAGGCAATTATACTAGTTTTGCAGAATCACTGGGAGAATTAAATTGGAAAATATTAAGCACCTAGCACAATATTTGACACAAAATATTTCATACAAAAACTACTAAATAATCATCTGTTCCCTGAACTGTCCATTACTCAATATTTAAATGTGTTTAGGGATACAGAAATTGTACTTTTCTTTTTGAGGGACTACACAACAAAACTGTTATTTTAGTGTCAAAACCTGCCTCTTCTCTTTCCATAAGAATTTATAAAATTTAATTTTTCTTTATCATCTATCTTAGTATGATTTAACACTGTCACTTCATTCATCAGTAAGAGATGCTTAGGTCAGGCGCGGTGACTCACGCCTGTAATCCCAGCACTTTGGGAGGTCGAGGAGGGTGGATCACAAGGTCAGGAGATTGAGATCATCCTGGATAACACGGTGAAACCCTGTCCCTACTAAAAATACAAAACATTAGCCGGGCATGGTGGCGGGTGCCTGTAGTTCCAGCTACTCGGGAGGCTGAGGCAGGAGAATGGCTTGAACCCGGGAGAATGGCATGAACCCGGGAGGCGGAGCTTGCAGTGAGCCGAGATCGCGCTACTGCACTCCAGTCTCGGTGACGGAGCGAGACCCTGTCTCAAAAAAACAAACAAAACAAAAACCAGACGCTTTTAAGTTCAATGACTACAGTCACAAAACAAAACAAACAAAACAAAAAGGGATTCAGTAACTTTTAGTTAACACACCTGAATTTTGGGGGAAAGCAAACATTCAAAGGTATTATTAGATGATACACTATTTTGTGTATGCACTGGCATTAAAGAGCCAACTGGAAGGTCCAGGATACTGGATGGAACCTGCTGACTGACTAATGGGCTTTCTATAGGCTGATCTGGCAGGGACCTTCCAGCTGCTTTTAGTGTTGCACTCTTAAAAAGGAACATACTGCCAGGGATCCCCAGGCAGGTAACAAAAGAGAAAACAAAACAAACTTTAAAGAAACATAGAGCAAAGAGAGAGCAGAAGACATTTTAAATATTTTATTAGTAATATTCTCAAATAAGTAAAAAAGGATGGTTCAGAAGAAAGAGCTGTTGGATATTACAAGTATGATAGCAGGAAAAATGAAAATTTCAATCACAGTTTCTTTTTTTGTTTTGTTTTGAGATGGAGTTTCGCTCTTGTTACCCAGGATGGAGTTCAATGACACAATCTCAGCTCACCACACCCTCTGACTCCCAGGTTGAAGTGACTCTCCTGCCTCAGCCTCCTGAGTAGCTGGGATTACGGGCATGCGCCATCACGCCAGACTAATTTTGTATTTTTAGTAGAGACGGGGTTTCTCCATGTTGGTTAGGCTGATCTTGAACTCCCAACCTCAGGTGATCTGCCCGCCTCGGCCTCCCAAAGTGCTGGGATTACAGGCATGAGCCACCGCGCCCACCCTCAATCACTGTTTCAAAGGCAAGTTGAAGCTATTTCTCAGGGGAAAAAGAAAACAAAGAGATAGAAAACAGAAAAGAGGCTTTCAAAATTAAGGAATCCATGTTAAAGGCCCAATATCTGATTAATAGCACTTCACCTTCCACATTAAGAAGGCAAAAGATAACATCTAAAACTGCAAAACAAAGAAAAGAGTAGCATAAACATTATTTTAGAAATTCAGAGGTAAATACCCAGGGAAAGCTAAAAGAATTGACAGTTGTTTGTAAAGAAAAAGATGGGAAATTGGGAGGCATACAACAGGGCACTGCTGCTTATTCAAATCTTTCAGCGTTATTGCCTTTTCAGTGATGGTCATGTATAATTTTGATAAAAATTAAATTTAGGCCAGGTGCGATGGCTCATGACTCTAATCCCAGCACTCTGGGAGGCCAAGGCAGGCAGATCACTTGAGGTCAGGAGTTCAAGACCAGTTTGGGTCAACACGGAGAAACCTGTATCTACAAAAATGCAAAAAAAAAAAAAAAAGAAAAAATTAGCTGGGTGTGGTGGTGCACGCCTGTAATCCCAGCTACTCAGGAGGCTAAGGTAGGAGAATCGCTTGAACCTGGGAGGCGGAAGTTGAAGTAAGCTGAGATCACACTACTGCACTCCAGCCTAGGCAACAGAATGAGACTCCGTCTCAAAAAAAAATTAATTTTAAAAAGTTTAGTACAGCAAACCTCAATTTTTGTTCACTTGATGAAAGTCACAAGTTTATGCACAAGAAAATTACTCTCTGTGAAATTCTATGTCCAAGACACCATACAAAATATGCTATGGAATGAGGAGGAGCAGTAGTTAGCACTTAGGAATGCTGCAAAGACTGCAGAGGTGATGGTGCACGGTGGGAGGTTAGGTGGGAAGGTAACAAGCTAAGCATTCAACACATCCCATCCCTCCAATATAACTGGAACCATATTTCCATCTAGTCAAGGGTCTTCATACACCACAAAGGCAGGTCCCTCTCTAGTAGTCCAATTGCAGACATCCTGATCAGCCTAGAGGGAGGACGAGGATCCCTATCTGAGAATCTGGCAGCCCACAGCATCACTCACATCACACAGCATCACTCAGGACTCAGCATCTCTCACTCTACAACCACAGGGGAAATACCAAGGGAGTGGTGACACCTGATGCCTGTGGCTTTTGAACATCATCTTAGTGCATTCAGAGTTCTCAAACATGTAAATGTCATGACGTTAAAAACAGGATAGATGAGGCCTCAAAATGCATACGGAAAACTTGGAATTAGAGTGTCTTTTATTTTGAACTTCAGCTTAACTATAAATACTATTTCTTACCGAAAGAAATGTCTCAATGTTCTCGTGAACAAAGGAAGCAATATCCTGCCAGTCCAGAATGTCTCCCAGCCAGCTATTCTGACGACTGACATGCAACTTCTGTCCTTTGTGCCTTCCAGAGTGTGTTACATTCTATGGAATAAAACAGTGCAGACATGAAATTCCCGTCTTAATCTAAAGATCAAAAAGTATAAAAGTCACATTTTGCTTCAGGTCCCCTTAATCACTTCAGAAAGTACTCCAAGGAGAAGAACTTTCCACTATTTAAGAAATCAGCTAAGAACTCCATTTAAAGACCTGAAATAAAAAATGCTTTTGTTTATATTCTAGGCACCTTGGCTAAGTCTTGCTCCAGTGCTTCCCTCCTAAATACATTTGCAAACACATCTTACTCCTCAGTATCTACAACAACACACTAAATAGCATTTACTTTTTTTTTTTTTTTTTTTTTTAGTTTTTAGGTCCTCTACCTTTCTCTTGATCTCCCATCTTTGCTTTTTCCTCCTTTCCTCATTTTTCTTTTTAATTTACCATACAAGATAAGCAAAACGAGGAGAGAAGAATATAACAAGCAAATGTAAGGCAGTAAATAGAATTTGTCTATCTGGAAGACATTGGCAGAGATACGAGAATAACTAACTTTGAAAGAGATAAGGGCCAGGTAGAATGGCTCACACCTGTAATCCTACCACTTTGGGAGGCTGAGGCAAGAGGATCACTTAAGCCTAGGAGTTCAAGACCAACCTGGGCAACATAGTGAGACCCTATCTTTACAAAAATTTAAAAATTAGACACGCATGATGGTAGGAATGTCGTCTTCTTTTTTTAGAGACAAGGTCTTGCTCACCTTGTCACCAGGTTGGACTGGAGTGCAATGATGCAGTCATAGCTCACTGCAGCCTCCAACTCCTGAGCTTCAGTGATCCTCCCACTTCAGTCTCCCCAAGTAGCTGGGACTATCGGCACACACCACCACACCCAGCTAATTTTTTGTAGAGATGGGGTCTCACTACGTTGCCCAGGCTGGTCTGAAGCTTCAAGCCTCAAGTGATCCTCCCACCTCAGCCTCCCAAACAGCCAGGATTACAGACATGAGCCACCATGCCCAGCCAACAAATATGCTAGTTTGTACAAAGAACTTGAGCATCCCTGGATTTTGGTACCAGTGGGGTGTCTTAGGACCGATCATCCAGCACACTGGGGGACACACTGTACTTAACCGCTTAACAAACCCATGCTTATGAAACACTGACCTTCCTCTACTATAAAATAAAGCTCACGAGGTATGAGGGGTAATAAAAGCTATTTGTCTGTAAGCAGTCCCAGAGTTAGCAAAAGAAATAGATACACCTTTCTAATTATCTGGTTTTTCAGCAGATGAGATCAAATCTATGATACTCACCTAGATATTCCCTGGATATTTTTTCCCAAGTCTTTGAAATCTATAAAAACTAACAATCTTCCCTCAACTCATCCCAAAGCAAGAGTACGTAATCCCAAACAAGTCACTAAGGAACAAATTCAAATTTAAAATCAGCCCTCCTCCCCCTCCACCCTACATTAAGAGACTTACATATATACTTGCTCTCCTTACATCAACTCAGAATCATCACCACCAACTCTGCCCACTCTATACATAGCACAGCTCCTGCTAGCCCACAGGCCCTGCCAGAACTAGTATACAGGATGGCCTGGGCAACATGGCAAAACCCCATCTCTACAAAAAACACAAAAAAATTCACCAGGCATGGTGGCATGCACCTGTAATCCCAGCTACCCAGAAGGCTGAGGCAGGAGGATCACTCGAGTCCAAGAGATGGAGGTTACAGTAAGCCAAGATCACACCACTGCACTCCAGCCTGGGTGACAAGAGTGAGACCCTGTCTCAAAAAATAATAATAATAAATAAAAATAAAAAGTAAAAGATCTCTAAGCTTTTAGATCCAGTTTCACTTCCTCAAAGAAAAGTTCTTAATGCCTACAGTTGTACTGTCTAAAACAGTAGCCAGTAGAAGCTAGCCACATGTGGCTACTGAGCACTTAAAATATGTCTAGCTCAAAAACTGAGACGTGCTGCTGGTATAAAATGCATGCTAGATTTCAAAGACAGCATGGAAAAAAAAGAATATAAAATATCTTATTAAATTTTTTCTAATGATTATATATTAAAATAATAGTATTTGGGGTATACTGGATTAAATAAAGTATCACTGAAAAACTAAAACAGGTAAAATTTGTTTGAGTATAAGTACTAGAAAATTTAACATTACCTTATGTGGCTTGCATTACACTTCTCCCGCACAGAGCTGGTCTAGAGGATGAGATGTCCATGACAACAGACTGAGGATGGAATACTGATGCACCAGAGAGGTAGGCAGGTTCTGCCATGGAGACTAACCATCAACTCACACTGACTTTAGTGACCTGAGGCTTAAGGGTTTTGCTGTTTTAAAATTTCCATGAATGAAATCCCGCTGTGAATATAATCCTATCTAGTTGATGAGTCGATAAAAGGACTTTATTAGTTTACAACATAAAACCTTAGCTAAAATAACTTACCTTTACAAACCAAGAGTGATACAGTCTGTCCCAAAGTTCTAGTACTTGCTTTTCAATTACAGCAGTATTGTTCACCTTATCTCCTAGAATTTTATGGAGCTAGAAAAAAACACAGATACGACCTGGTACAATATTTCAGGCAACAATAGAGTAAATTTAATATATGCTGCGTATTTACATTTGTTTCAAATCAAACAAAAATGTTCCAGACTATTTATCTCTAGCCACATTATGTTCTTTCCTTAAACTCTACTCCTGACTATTCCCAGTAAATTTCCTTTCTCATCTTTTTGCTTCTATCTTGTTTGCTCTATTCTCAGGTCTCTAAGAGAGCTACCTCACACTATCAGAGAATGATGCAAATGAAGCCATGATTGCTGACTTATCTGATCTTACTTGTCTAGAGAAAAATCTTTCCCCTGTAATCCCAGTGCTCTTCCATTATACATATGTCTCATGTTACATTTATCTCTATTATTAAGAATTACCACAGAACTTTAAGTAAAATTTTAGGACGCTGGCTATAAACACAAATCCTTCCCTCCATTTGCATGCTGAGAGATGTGCGGTCTCATTTACAATTGATCAGACTGGCCTTGGGTTTGTGGAAATCAAGTACACTGAGACGACGTAACTTAGAGGAAGGCTATCATTGTAAGATGTTATCCCACTTAGTTATTATTAAAACCATATTATATAATATAAAAAACAATTTTTACACTTTCAGAGGCTGAGGTGGGCAGATCACTTGAACCCAGGAGTTTGAGACCAGCCTGAGTAACATGGTGAAATCCCATCTCTACAAAAAATACAAAAAGATTATCAGGTGTGGTGGTGTGTGCCTGCAGTCCCAGCTACTTGGGAGACTGAGGTGAGAGGATCACCTGAGTCCAGGAGGTTGAGGCTGCACTGACCTGTGATCATGCCAATGCACTCCAGCCTGAGTAATAGAGTAAGATCTGGTCTCAGGGGAAAAAAAAAAAAAAAAAAAAAAAAATTCCTAAAAGAAATTTGTAGGCCCACTTCCTTAATACAATTGTTTCCATTTTTCTATTTCCTCTGCAACTTTCTGCCTGTTTACATAGAGACAATTTAGAATTCTATATTTTCTACTGCATTATAAACATTTAATCTTCAGCCATCACTAACCTTCATCTTTAATACTTTTCTATTAGTTCATTATGTTCTGGTATTAGCTAATCATTACCCACTCTAAGGATATATAATTAAATCTTTTTTTCTTTTTTTTTTTTCTTTTTTTTTTTTTTTTTTTGAGATGGAGTCTTGCTCTGTCACCCAGGCTGAAGTGCAGTGGTGCAATCTTGGCTCTCATTGCAACCTCTGCCTCCCAGGTTTGAGCAATTCTCCTGTCTCAGTCTCCTGAGTAGCTGGGATTACAGGCGTGCACCACTACGCACAGCTAATTTTTGTATTTTTAGTAGAGACAGAGTTTCACCATGTTGGCCAGGCTGGTTTTGAACTCCTGACCTCAAGTGATCTGCCCACCTCAGCCTCCACAAGTGCTGGGATTACAGGCATGAGCCACTGTGCCGAGCCATGAATCCTAATTTTTAATGTCATGAGTAACACTGCAATGAACATCCTTTTACACAGTTTTTAAGGATATCTATGGATGCTCATTGCAGGGTTACTTGTGACATAAATAAATGTACTGGAACCAAAGGAAATGAGTTTGTTTTTTTTTTTTTTTTTGAAACAGGGTTTTACTCTGTCATCCAGGCTGGAGTACAGTGGCATGTTCACGGTTCATTGAAGCCTGGACCTCCTGGGCTCAAGCGATCCTGCCACCTCAGAGACCCAAGTAGCTGGGATCACAGGCGCATGACACCACACACAGCTAATTTTCTTATTTTTTTGTAGAGACAAGGTCTCACTATGTTGCTCAAGCTGGTCTGGGATCAAGTGATCCTCCTGCCTCGGCCTCCCAAAGTGATGGGATTACAGGCATAAGTCACCACACCTAGCCGACAATGAGCATTTTAATGGCTCTTGCTACGCACTGGTAAACTGACTTCTATAATAAGAAATATACCAATTAATGCTTTTCAAATTTACATAAATGACCCAATTTCCTCAAAGCCTTATGAACTAACTGGACAATTTTTAGGGAGTTTAACAGGTATGAAATGTAGCCATTATTTATTATTTTCTTATTTAGTAACGAAAGGAGTGACCATTTTCCCGTGTTAGTTTACAACATCTATTTCCTTACTCTTTGTCTGTTTGATTCTGGCCTTACAGATATGTGAACCAGTTACTAGACATATTCAATGCAAACATATCTGTTCAATTTGTTCCTTTATATTTGATTTATTCATAAACTGAAAACAAAATACTCAATATAATAAAGCCATTTGGCCAGGCATCGTGGCTCATGCCTTGTAATCATAGCACTTTGGGAGGCCATGGTGGAAGGATCATGTAAGCACAGGAGTTTGAGACCAGCCTGGGCAACATGGTGAAACCACGTCTCTATAAAAAATAGAAAAATTGGCTGGGCATGGTGGTGCATGCCTGTAGTTCCAGCTACTCAGGAGGCTAAAGTGGTAGGACCACTTGAGCCTAGGAGGTGGGGGTTGCAGTGAGCTGAGATCGCGCCACTGCACTCACCCGGGAACAAATCTTGCCGATTCTTACATAATCCTAATTACTTCAGTATACTAAAAGTGCAATTTACCTTTATTCCTACAGGCAATACTAGGGAGGGAAAGAATATTCCAAATCCATATTGCGGAACCTAATCCTTAACTGTGTCGTCTTTTCCTCTATCATTCATTTCCCCTTAACAAAGCTCCCTCCACTTCAGTCAAGATCATTTCCTCAAGCACACTCCTGTCTCAGCATCTCAATCATCTCTTCAAGCACACTCCTGTCTCTGCATCTTGGCTCACACAAATATCCTTCTTAAAAGCCACTCTTTCTTGATCTGTCATTACTTCAAGGTTTATCTCAAGTGCCACATCAAAGCACTTAATCCAGTTCTGGGCACACACTGCAAGCATACTACAGTAGACACAAAGGATTTGAAGTTAAGCTTCAGTTTCAAACTAAGCTCTGCAATCTACTACATGACCCCTGGGAACTGACTCAGCCTTGCTGAGTCTTGTTTCCTCATCTGCAAAGTAGGCAAAATAATTTATATTGCAGACTTCTTAGAAACAGTAAAAGAAAAAAAAAATTAAATGAAAATAACTGGAAACTGCCAAAGATAGTTATCAGCAGATAATAAGATTTGACATGCATGAATACCTTTTTCTCTACAAAGCCTTATTTGACTACCCAAACCAAGTGATCATTCTGTCCTAACTCACAAGTAATGAATCAGATCTATCTTGAAAAAGTACACGACCAACCTCTCAGATTATTCAGGCCACTACCCCTATTTAATGTGATCTTTCAAAAGATTTAATTGTATGTTGCTTACCTGTTTATTTAAGCCTACTTACTGCTGCGAATAGCATTTCTATTTATGTTTTATCAAAGCAAGAAGCTATCACCAGTAAAGACCCTGAAAAGAGAAAGCTACAAAGAAAGGTTCTTCCCTTACCTTGTGAGTTATCCATTCTCGTCCATACTGATACACATTGTTAGCCGCAGAATTCAGGGCTCTTTGGACTACCTGAGCCTCAGGAAGCCAACTAATGTAAAACAAAGAAAGAAAAGAATGAAAAAAGTACACTTTCTGTGTAGTGTACCAGTAATGCTTTGAACTGGATATGCTTAATCCATAACAGACAGACTGTTGATCATTCATCAATACACAGATACTGAAGCATCATGAGCAGGACTGCCAGACTTAACTGGCCTAAGTCTAACATTCAGGAAGCCCTTTCAATCTTTCCTTAGTTTTATTTATTTTATTTTATTTTATTATTTTATTTTGGAGACGGAGTTTCACTCTTGTTGCCCAGGCTGGAATGCAATGGCACGATTTCGGCTCAGTGCAACCCTGCAACTTCCACCTCCTGGGTTCAAGTGATTCTCCTGCCTCAGCCTCCCAAGTAGCTGAGATTATAGGCATGTCACCACACCTGGCTAATTTTGTATTTTAGTAGAGATAGGGTTTCACCATGTTAGTCAGGCTGGTCTCAAACTCCTGACCTCAAGTGATCCACCTGCCTCAGCCTCCCAAAGTGTTGGGATTACAGGCGTGACCCACGGCACCCGGCCTCAATGTTTCCTTAGCTTTTAGACTCACTTTCCCCACAACCTCCCTTTCATTCTACTCTGCCTGGTTTCTCTGTTCACACGTCCTGAGTCATCCGCCTTATTCGGCACCAAAGAAAGTGGTTTTGGGAGACTGGGATATTCAACATCCGGGACAGGGTTCTCAAAGTGTGGTCCACAAATCAGCAGCATCAAAACTTGGAAACCTGTTAGAAATGAAAAATTTGGGGCCCAAACCCAGATCTACTGAAAAAGGAACACGACTGGGGCCCAGCAATCTGTACCTTAACAAGCCCTGTAGATGATACTGAAGCATGCTACAGTTTGAGAATCACTCATCTAAGGAAGTGAAGAAATCAGAAAGAATGAAGGAAATGAAGAAAGTGAATCATTATCCTCAACTTGGCTATCTGCTGAAGATCTTTTAAAGATAGAATTCCTGAACAGAGTTCCAACTATGTAAGGAATCATAGTCCACAAGCTTTACTTGCTGTGCAGTGAGAGGTGGCCTCCTCACTCTCCTGTTGACTAAGCAGGCTGCACCATATACTTTAATCAAGAATCCTTTACACAACCATAGTGTTTCCACAAGAGAAAACATGTTCACGTATTCTCTAAATTGTTCCTTTTAATAATGTATGCTGGAGATGTTGACATTCACAAATTTAACAGTCCTCATTTCAACTATTCCAAAGTGAAGCCAAAAGGTGAAGGCAAGAAGAAGCTAGTCATTTACTTTCCTGAGGTCCCAAAATGACACATCCTACAACTCTAACATAAAAGGGTCAATTAGGTAAAGTCAAATGTGCAACATCCTCAACTCACTGCAGCTTTATGTGCTGTGTATGAGCAAGATGGTCATAAAGAGAAAGTCAGTTGCCACTGACAGCCACAAAGTCTGGGTGCCTAGGAAAGTGGCCTTTAACTAGAAAAAATAAGAGATCTTTGAATGAATTAAAAAGTAGACTATTAAATCAGTAGGTTTGAATCGTAAGTATTAACCAGTTAGCCCCACACTCCAAATAAAGTATCTGTGAAACTTCTTGGCAAATCCCTCAGTCCATTCAAATATTTCTCAGCAAGGTCAGCACGCTGGTTCATGTCTGTAATCCCAGCACTTTGGGAGGCCAAGGCGGGTGGATCACTTGAGGCCAGGAGTTCAAGACCAACCTGGCCAACAAGGCAAAAAATACAAAAATACTAAAAAATACAAAAATTAGCTGGGCGTGGTTGCACACAACTGTAGTCCCAGCTACTCAGGAGCCTGAGGCACAGGAATCACTTGAGCCCAGGAGGGAGAGGTTGCAGTGAGCCAAGATCATGCCACTACCCTCCAGCCTGGGCAAAAGGGCAAGACTGTCTCAAAAAAAAAATTTCTCAGCAAGTCAAAATTTCAAAATTTTAGACACAAATATAATAATGTACAGTATAAGGACATAAACAGGAAATCTGGATCACTAAACTGAAATGTGATTTGGGAGAAATTAGGTAGCTTTTAAATTACTCCTTTATAAATTCATCAGTGGCTTGAAGGGATTGCTAAATATTTTCCATTATATGGTAACTCATAATTGATGTGATATTGATATACTGGTATTATATTGATATTATATATTATACTGATAACACTATCCTGTAGTGTTATTTACAAGTGTGAAGATGGGCAGGGCGCAGTGGCTCACGCCTGTAATCCCAACACTTTTGAGAGGCTAAGGCAGGTGGATCACCTGAGGTCAGTAGTTCGTGACTAGCCTGGCCAACACAGTGAAACCCCATCTCTATTAAAAATGAAAAAATTAGCCAGGTGTGGTGGTGTGCGCCTGTAGTCCCAGCTACTTGGGAGGCTAAGGCAGGACAATCGCTTGAACCCGGGAGGCAGAGATTGCAGTGAGCCGAGATCATGCCATTGCATTCCAGCCTGGGCAACAAGAGCAAAACCCCGTCTCAAAAAAAAAAAAAAAAGTGTGAAGATTCATAGAGGTATCTGGACAGATTCTTAATGATTCACAAACATCTACTGGGCCTGGGAAAATGTCTTACTGGCCACTATGAAAACACTTTCCCAATGTACTCACACAGGTTTCCTAAGAGCAACAAATGAGAGGAGCTGTTCTGGGGACAAGGTAGAGGCACTGGCTCAGTCCCAGCCTCCCTCAGGAGACATGGGGCCAGAAACACAGGAGCCGCCTTAGCTGGGTTGTACTCTGGCCTTACACACCTACAGGCCCTGAAATGAGCTCCTTCCTTGGAGATTCACTGCCTCAGCCTATCGCTAACTCCCCTACTCACTCAAGAGGGATGCCTCAGCAGAAACCAATGCCCTACAGTTTAGACTGGTCTGCCCTCACCTTCCTGGGTAAAGGTTAATCTCTATCACCTACGACGTACCCAGCGAACAACCCTGATTAAAAACAACTTAGTTTAGCCTACTGGGTTTCTCCCAAGTAAGCGAAGGGATAAGTGCAACTGAAAACCATTTCAGTACCATCTCCTAATGAGGGTCCTGAGACGCATGAATCAGGCTTGAGACAAGCCAGGAGAAAGCAGAAAATGAGCTCTCAACTAACAGAACTGCCAAAGACAAGAATCAGGATGTGCATCAACCTCATTTTCTTTAGAGCTCCACTAAGATGATCCTAATCTGTCTAATTTACCCACCAGCTTACGAGGCACATCCAGCAGAAGTCAAGGGACTACATGGGCCATATAAAACCACACCAAGTTGGAAGAAAGTACCTCTGGACTTATTCTTAACTGTATCTTCTCCACTAGGAGTATCCACATGAATCCCCCACAAGGTCAACTACCCTCCTCCTGACAGAATCCACTGAGTACTGAGAGTTGGAGGAAACCATTATCATTATTTCACGCCAATCCCTACTATTTCCAATCCCATTCCCACTTATCTGCTGCAAAAGAATTAGACCTTCCATGAATCATCAAAGTCTAAGCAGCTTTAAAAAGCCTTCCTTTTGGGAGGTCGAGGCGGGTGGATCACTTGAGGTCAGGAGTTCAACACTAGCCTGGCCAACATGTAAAACCCTGTCTCTTACTAAAAACACAAAAATTAGCTGGGCGTGGTGGTGCATGTGTGACTGTTGCGTGCGTGACTGTAATACTGGCTACTTAGGAGGCACAAGAATCGCTTGAACCCAGGAGGTGAAGGTTGCATTGAGCCAAGATCACACCACTGCACTCCAACCTGGGTAAGAGTGACACTTTGTGTCAAAACAAAAACAAAAACAAAAAAACTTCCTAAATGGAACATTACTCAGCAATAAAAAGGAACAAACTTGATATATACAACATCTTGGATGAGCTTCAAGAGAATTATGCTAAGCAACAAAAAGCCAACCTCAAAAGGCTGCATACTCCATGAATGGATTTATGTATTACTCTCAAAATGATTTTATAGCTATGGAGAACTGATTAGCAGTTGCTAAGAGTTACAGAAATCTTGAAGGAGAGGGTAGAGGGTGGGTGTGGCTGTTAAGGGGAAGAAGCCTGCAATGGAACAGTTCTGTACTGTGTTGGTAGCTGACATGAAGCTACACATATGATGAAATCTGAAGTGTATTATAGCAATGCCAATTTCCCGGTTTTATTGTACTACAGTTATGCAAGATGACAACACTGGAGGAGGTGGGGTGAAGAGTACATGAGTCTTCCCTGTACATGTCTTTGCAACTCCCTGTGAATCTATAATCATGATCTCAAAATTTCAAGACAAAAAAAAACCTTTCTTCCACTATCTGATCTGGGGCTGCTCAGATTGTGTGCCTTTGCTACAGTTGCAGAGAGAATGCTACTACTATTCAAAACCAGTACAGAAGGGCTCTGCATTTACTTCCAGTACAGAAGAATGACCCAAAGAAAAGGAGCCCTCTGGATGTAAAGGCTGAGGCTGAGTCCTAGAGGACAACACTTGGAAGGTCTATCATCCCATGAAAGGCTCTATCCACTTGCCTAGATCCAAGATGGCTCCTTCCTAAAATCCCATACCTGATACATGTTGGTTCCTCTTTTTTCCCATCCTCCTTTTAAAATGTATTATATCCAAAGAGCCAGAGGACAGAAGACCTCACTTCTTACTTCAAAGATATATGGCCCCTAATTTCCCACCTTCCCCACTCCACTGAACTCACAGTGTTTATATCCATACCCACTCTGACCTGCTTTCCCCAGCTGTTCCATTCGTGCCATGGATTCATCTCATGCTTCATCCTCAGAGAAACGCACTAAGAATTATCTCTCTCCTAATATTACAATCCCTTCCACTCTACCAGTTCTTTCCCTGGAGCATATAAACAAGGCTTCTCCAACTTAAAAAATTAAACAAAACTGCTCTATACCTCCCTCCCAGCTACGTTCCATAGGCAAACTTGGGAAAGAGAAGTCTATACCTGCTTTCTCTACTTCCTTGTTCCCAACAATTTCTCAACACACTGTGATCGAATGGGCTTCTGCTACACCAATTAAATGAACTGCTCTTGCAGTTGCTAAATCCAATTTCACTCTTACAAATTTCTGCAGCAATTTGACATTGCTGACCACTACTACTTTCTCAAAATGTTCTCTTTCCTTGGTTTTCCTCTGACCTTTCTCATAGCCCATTCTCATTTTCCTTTGTCAACCTATTGTTTTTTGTTCACCCTTAAAGGCTTAAGATACCCACAGGGCGCACCTCCAGACATCCTCTCCGTACCTTATATACATTCTTTCTTTATGCTGATGCTTCTCAAAACTCAACATCCAACCCAGACCTCTCGTCTGATTCCTGGACTTACACAGCAACTGCCCATTTTTTAACTTCACCCCATCTCTCCTGAACCTCATACCTATAGAGTCAACAGCCTACTGGATGCCTCTACTTACAACAGTCACCTCAAACTCAACAGGTAAACAGGTGAATTAGTTTCCCTACCAAATCTGCTCTTCTATTTCCTATCTTGGTGAATCTGTCATCACTCAGTAATTTCCAAACCTAGAAACATCAGTCATGCTAGATTTCTTCCTCTTATATTCAATTAATCACCAACTAACCCCTCAAGACCTTATAAATCTGTCCCTCCTGTTCACCTCCACTGAAACTGTCTACAGTTCAGGGCTTTGTCACTTCTCATCCAGTTTACTCTAGAAGCTTTTAATTTGTCTCAAAGGCTCACATCTTGTATACCTTCAATCTTTTCTCCACAAAGCAGCTGAAAAGCCTGTTCTAGAATGAAATCTGATGATTCTACTTCTCTTCTTATATCCTTCATCAAAATAATAAACATATCTATCACTCCCCAAAATTTCCTTGCACCTGTATGTATGTCGTCCCTAGAGCTCCACCCCAATCCACAGGCAACCATTAATCTTACTGTCACTACAGATTAGTCCGCATTTCCTAGAACTTTAAATAAATGAAATCGTACCATTCGGGTTTTTTGCACAAATTTTTTCACTCAGCACACTTTTTTGTTGTTTTTTTGAGACAGAATCTTACTCTATGGCCCAGGCTAGAGTGCAGTGGCACAATCTTGGCTCACTGCAACCTCCATCTCCCGAGTTCAAATGATTCACGTGTGTCAGCCTCCCAAGTAGCTGGGATTACAGGTGCGTGCCACCACACCCAGTTCATTTTTGTACTTTTAGTAGGGACGGGGTTTCACCACATTGGCCACACTGGTCTCAAACTCCTGACCTCAGGTAATCAGACCTCCTCGGCCTCCCAAAGTGCTGGGATTACAGGCGTGAGCCACCGCACCCGGCCAGCATATTTATTTTGAGAGTCATCCATGTTGGTATATGTATCATTAGTCCATTTTTTTTCTAATGCTGAGTAATATTTCACTGGATAAATATACCACAATTTATATTTCAAAAGAAATACACTTCCTTTACGAAGATTCAAATAGGCCAGGTGCAGTCATTCATGCCTGTAATCCCGGCACTTTGGGAGGCTGAGGAGAGAAGTTCACTTGAGCCCAGGAGTTCAAGACCAGCCTAGGCAACATGGTGAAACTCCTACAAAAGATATAAAAATTAGCCGAGTATAGTGGCTCATGCCTGTAGCCCCAGCTACTCAGGAGACTCAAGTGGGAGGACTGATTGAGACCAGGAGATCAAGCCTGCAGTGAGACACGACTGCGCCACTGTAATCCAGCCTGGGTGACAGAGCAAGACCCTGTCTCAAAAAAAAAATAAAATAAATCAAATATTATTCTAAATCAAGTTCAAGTAATATCCTAGGCAGGTTTTACAGAAAATAATAAAGTAGAGGCAAAGGAAAAAATCAAGTTAAATCTCAACTTACAAGCCTAAAACTGGCAGAATATTTCCTGACTTATGACTGTGCTGAGGTTAATAAAAGGCAGGTCATACAATGTGTCATCAAGTTGTTATGTGGATAACACAGCTCTGCTGAACATCCCCCACAAAAACTGAAAATCCTTCTTCCCGAAGCCAAATTAAACATGTACACAGAGATCCTATAAAACAGAAGTAGCAAATTTTTCTGTAAAGGACCAGAGAGTAAATATTTTAGGCTCTGCAGAACATATACTCTCTGCCACAGCTTCTCAATTCTGTTTGTCCTTGAAACCTCAAAACAGCCAGAGAATATATGTAAACGAGTAGACACAGGTATGTTCCACTAAAACTTTATTTACAAAAGTGTTGGGAAAAAGGCTTGTAGGGTGCCATAAAAATATGGGACAATAAGTTGTGGAAAGCCACAATAGGCTTCTGAGGAGGAAAGCCTGCTAATTGCCATCATGTTCCCATACTCAGAGTGAGACCTGCTCTCTTCTCTGTAAACACTGTGTTCAAGGAGAAAGACACTCCTTTGAAACACTGGAATGTGGACAGACGTGCAGGCTCCTAGTTAAGCCCCACTAGCTACTCTCCAGTAAGTTAAAGATACGCTGTTTGAGCACAAAGGAGATTCATTTAAACTGCTATTGCTATAGATTACACTTATGACGTATTGCCTCCCTTTCACTGTTTCACCCTGAACATCTGCTTCTTAGATCTAAGTGACTAAATAAATAGTCTGGAGACCAGAGCTCACTGTCTTTGCAGCCTCCATTACGCAACTGGCCCCGACTCCCACCTTTGTGAACTCTTAACCTGTCTCTTCTCATTTCTTTGTCACCACCGGACTTCAGGTACCCTATGGGTGGTGTTGAGGCTGGTCTCCAACACAAAAGGAGGTGGCTGAATTTGGCCCTGGACCATAGTTCACCTATCCTTCCTCAAAAATAATACAATATGGGAATATGTCAAGAATTATAAAACTGGGCATGGTAGTATACACCTGTAGTCCCAGCTACTCCAGAGGCTAAAGCAGGAGAACTGCTTGAGCCCAGGAGTTCAAGATCAGCCTGGACAACATGGTGAGACCTCATTTCTTAAAAATAAATAAATAAATAAATAACAAATTTAAAAATTATACAGAAAGTTGAGGAGTTGCAGTTTCCACGTTATAGTGGAAACTTTCCTTCAGTTGATTGGGAGCAGTGGTTATAAATGACTCTGCCACTGGGGGATTATCATCTCAAGTTCCTTACCCTTTGATCTTGTTTCCTCATGTGTAAAATGGGGATAACCTCTTCAATCTATCTCACACAGTCACTGTGAGGAACAAATGACATAAGATAGATGAAAGTGGCCAGGCACGGTGGCTCACGCCTGTAATCCCAGCACTTTGGGAGGCCAAGGTGGGCAGATCATGAGGTCAGGAGATCGAGACCACCTTGGCTAACATGGTGAAACCCCATCTCTACTAAAAATACAAAAAATTAGCCGGGTGTGGTGGCAGGCGCCTATAGTCCCAGCTACTTGGGAGGCTGAGGCAGGAGAATGGCATGAACCCAGGAGGCGGAGCTTGCTGTGAGCCGAGATCGCGCCACTGCACTCCAGCTTGGACAACAGAGCAAGACTCCGTCTCAAAAAAAAAAAAAAAAAAGATGAAAGTGCTTTGTAAATTATAAACATGCTGTAAACCTCAATTATAAAACATAAAGTATCATTTACCATAAATTGTACCTAAAATCCTGAGCACTTTCCTCCCACCCTCTGTATTATATGCCATTCTTCTGCAAAAATGACAACATTTGTCAAAGCTCTGGCAAACCCTATCTTTTATCTTCCAATGCAGCTGCATCAATGAAGGTCATTTCATACAAACAGATGCTGAAATTAGGTTATTCATCTCTCTTCTTTTTCAAAACAATATTCTTACTTTGCCCACTCAGGGTGATTTGCTAGAGTTTCATTAATCAAATTACTTGTGACTTCAATCATGTGTACACTCTCTTGATGTACCTGTATTACGGATACAGAGAGAAAAGAATCTCAGTAAAAAATAAACCCAATTTAACATTTATTTTTCTACTTTATTATTGGAACAATGCTTTGAGAGCCAAATAAACACACATCTTTGCTTTAATTAATTTAGAAACATGCACCTCAAAGTTACTATACATTATATCTAATGATGCACTCTATGGGAAATAAAAAGTACATGTTAGCTCCCTGTTCAACAAATGACTTAAGAAAAAATACATAGATATGTTCGAATACTTGACACATACATGTGCATACATTTCATTCACATGGATATATTGTATACATGTGTTTGTATATCTATGTAAGCAATACCAGCACTTTGTGAGCTAACAGGTTCGTCATGTAGTGTGAGACAAACAGGCAAATAAGGAACTAAGGGTTTTTTTGGGTTTTTTTTTCAGCCCGATTCTCACTCTGTCATCCAGGCTGGCTGGAGTGCAGTGGCACAATCTCGGCTCACTGCAACCTCCACCTCCCAGGTTCAAGCGATTCCCATGCCTCAGCCTCCTGAGTAGCTGGGATTACAGGCACTCGCCACCATGCCTGTCTAATTTTGTATTTTTAGTAGAAACAAGGTTTTGCCATGTTGACCAGGCTGGTCTTGAACTCCTGACCTCAAGCAATCCACCCACCTTGGCCTCCCAAAGTGCTGGGATTACAGGTGTGAACCACCGCACCCAGCTGCAACTAAGTAAGGTTTCTAAGTAAAAAAAGCCAACAGCAGCTGCACCTCTGAATTTACCTTGCCCAATAACCAACAAAATGAGGGGGATAAAATGGGAATTAACCAGTTGAAAAAAATTTTTTTTCACCCAGGACATCCAAACAAGGAAAGAAATATAATCTGATACAATTTGGAACTCAGCCATCAGGTAAAGAAACAAAACATTCTGGAGCACAACAGAGAGCGTAACAGCTCACTCCTAAACTGACCCCATCACCCAGGAGCCACACAGGTGAGCTGACAAATATATTACAACTCACCGGTAACAGGGAGAAAAGAAGCCACATCCTTATCCTTTTCTGATGACAGAGGGAAAGAAAGTGTAATGAGGGAGAAAAGAACAAATCAGAGGAAAGAGATCAAAGTCCCCCACCCACATCCACCCCTCATCTCTGTCCCTTTCTGCAGTGAAAGTTCCACAGAATGCAAGGAATTGAGCGAGACAGTACAAAGATTGACGGTATTTTTCCATGGGCATGGGTATGGGATTAACCAAGTAGCAAAATCACTAGGGCAAGTCACATACCAACCCAGAACAGACCAGAGTCTAGATATCCTAACAAAGATACATAGCCAGCTAAGCCATCAAGTGATACCACTTCCAATTCTACCAGGCCCCAGAAAAGTAGGAAGAACACAGAATACAAACTGTACCAAGAAGGGGAAAAGAAACTGATTTCAGACACAATGAAGAGATAATCAACTCAGATGCAATGCCTAAAATACAGCCAGAATGAATAAGGCCTGATATGTTCTTGTGAGGACTTAGGCTAACATTTTGTGGGATATGGAAAACGAGATGGCTGTAAACTAGGGGATATAATCTTAAGTTTGGACGCTGTGTTGAAAACACACTAAATGAGGCTAAGGAACAATTCAAGAGAGAACAGGGATAGCTTTGAGCAGGGCAGTAGCGGTACTGAAAAAGAAGTGATTGGATTTGAGAGCTATCTTACATTAACCAACTGTTGGATGTTAAACGGGTTTTACATTCCCGAAATAAACCTCACATAGATACATTTTCCTTTTTACATATTGCAGGATTTAATCTGTTAACGTTTTGTTAAGAATTTTTGTGTCTATTTATAAGGGATATTGGTCTGCAGTTTCCCTTCTGTAAATGCCTTTGACTTTGGTTATCTGGGCAATACTAGCCTCATAAAATGAGCTGGCAAGTGTTACTTCTTTGCTAACTGAACAACATTGTGTAGAACAGGCAGTATTTCTTCACTACATGTTTGATAAAACTCAACAGTGAAACCATCTGGGCCTGAGTGCTTCTTGGTAGGAAGATTTTCAAACACTAATTCAATTTCTTGTCCTCATAGTGGGCTACAATTTTTCTATTTCTTCTTGAGTCTGTTCCATTCCTTCTCTACAAGGAATTTCTCCATTTAATGTTATCAAACTTGTTGGCATAAAGTTGTTCACAATATTCCCTTATCTTTTTAAGATCCGTGAGATATGCAGAGATGTTTCCTCTTTTGTACTTGATATTGGTAATTTGTATCTTCTTTCCTTTTTTCTTCATCAGTCTGGCTAAAAATTTGTCAATTTTATTGGTGTTTTTCAAAGAACCAGCTTTTGAGTTAAAATGTTTACTATTGTTTCTCCATTTCAAATTTCCTTCATCTACACTCGACCCTTATTATTTCCTTCCTTTCATTTACTTTGGATTAATTTGCTATTATTTGCTAGCTTCTGAAGGTGGAAACTTAGGTCACTGATTTTCCTTTTTCAAATATAAGCATTTAATGCCATAAATTTCCAACAAGACACTGCTTCAGCTTCATCCCACAACTTTTGATACACAGCAACTTTTCTTCCATTTTAAAATCTTCTAATTTCCTTCGAAATTTATTCGATTCACAGGTTTAGAAGTATGCTGCTTAATTTCTAAATATTTGGACATTTCCTAAATTTCTATTACTGATTTCTAATTTAATTCTGTGTCAGGAAATGCTTCATTTTTTCTTTTTTTGTTTAAGACAGTGATCTCTCTCTGTCACTCAGCCTGGAGTGCACTGGCACAATCACGGCTCACTGCAGCCTCCACCTCCCAGGCTCAAACAATCTTCCCACCTCAGCCTCCTAAGTAGCTGGGACTACAGGCATGTACCACAATGCCCACCTGATTTTGTAAACATAAGGGTCTCCTTATGTTGCCCAGGCTGGTCTCAAACTCCTGGGCTCAAGCAATCCTCCTGCCTCAGCCTCCCAGGTAGCTGAGATAACAGGTGTGTACCACTGTGCCTTGCCTAATACTTCCAAATGTATTGAACATACTGTTTATTCTGGTGAGTATCCCATGTTTTCTTGAAAAGAACGTAATTTCGAATTGTTAATTAGGTCAAGTTGACTGACCGCATTTTTTGGTGTGTGTTGTTTTTGCTTTCTTTTGAGACAAAATCTTGCCTGTCATCCAGACTGAGGTGCAGTGACACGATCAAAGCTCACTGCAGCCTCAACCTCCCGGGATCAAGCAATCCTCCCACCTCAGCCTCTCAAGTAGCTGGGACTATAGGCTTAAGCCACCAAGCCCAACTAATTTTTTCTATTCTTTATAGAGATGGGATTTTGTCACGTTGCTTAGGTTGGTCTTAAAACTCCTGGAGTCAAGGGATCCACCTGCCTCATCTTCCCCGAAGTCCTGGGATTACAGGCATAAGCCACCACACCCAGCTGACTGACAGGATTTTAAGGCTTCTAAATATCCTTATAATTTTCTAACTACTTATTCCCTCAATTATTGCAAGGAGTATTGAATCCTGAACTATAATCATAGATTTATGTCTCCTCTTAATTCTGAATGTTTGATTTCATGTATTTTAGAGCTCCGCTGTTAGGAACATATACATTTATAACTGTTATCTTATGGTAATATTAACTCTTATCCATATGAAAAGTCCTTAATTTGCCTCTAGTAGTATTTCTTTTTGACAATCTATTTTGTCTGATAATATATAATCAACTGCACGTATCTTCTGTGGACAGTTTACAGTGTATGCTTTTTAATCTTTTTACTATCAACCTTCCTGTGACTTTGAATTTAAAGTGTGTCTCTAACAGATACCAAAAGCAAGTTGGAACTTGCATTTTTTTTTTTTTTTTTAGACGAAGTCTCGCTCTGTCGCCCAGGCTGGAGTGCAGTGGCCGGATCTCAGCTCACTGCAAGCTCCACCTCCCAGGTTCCCGCCATTCTCCTGCCTCAGCCTCCCGAGTAGCTGGGACTACAGGAGTAGCCCACCTCGCCCGGCTAGTTTTTTGTATTTTTTAGTAGAGACAGGGTTTCACCATGTTAGCCAGGATGGTCTCGGCCTCCCAAAGTGCTGGGATTACAGGCTTGAGCCACCGCGCCCAGCCGGAACTTGCATTTTATATTCAGTCTGACAATCTCTGCTTTTTGACTGTTTAGTTGCTTCTCATGTAACCTAAGTATTGTCATGACCAGGTTTAGGTCTGCCGTTCTGCTACTTGCTTTCTATTTGTCCCATCTCTATTGGTCCTCTGTTCTTCCTGCACTGCCTTTTGTGTTCAACAAATTTTAGTATACCACTTTAGTTCCCCTAATCCCTAGGTTATTTATTGCCTGCTGGTTAACTTATCTAAATCTTATCTCAGCTTTTATCACAACCTACTTCCAGTTAATATTGACTTATATCCAGGAAAATATTTTAAGAACTTCACACCAGTACAGTTCCACTTTCCAGCCCTCTTCTTTGTGCTATGGTTTTATATATGCATAACTCATCTATATATGTTACAAAGGCCACAAGAGTGTTTCTGTTTATCTTTAAATAGTCATATTTGTTTAAATAAACTAAAAGAAGACAGGGGAAAATATAACCCACATATTTTCCAAGTGCTTTCATTCCTTTCTTTGGATCCAGATTATTTTTGGAGTCATTTATCTTCACCCCGAAGGAATTCTGTTAGCTTTCCATATAAGTGCAGGTCTGCTATCAAAAAATTCAGTATCTGTTTATCTAGAAATGTTTTCATTTTGCCTTTACTTTGAAAGAACAGTTTCACTGACTATAAAAGTATTGTCTGATAGAGATTTCTCCCCATGACTTTAAATATGTTACTCCAATGTCTTTTAGTCTTTGCTGTTTATTAAGAGAATTAAGTCACTAAATGTATTGTTCCCCTGTTTGTGATGTGTAATTTTTCTCTTGCTTCCTTCCAGATTTTCTTTTTATCTTTGTCTTTCGGCAGTTTGACTATGATGTAGCTAGGTATGGTTTTGTGTTTGCATATGCTTATTCTACTGAAGGTTTGTTGAACTTCTTGGATCTGTTAATGTTTTTCACCAAACATGGGAAATTTTTTAGCAATATCTCTTCAAATAATTTTTTCTACCTTTTTCTCTTCCTCTTCTCATCTTCTAGGATGCCTATTACATGTCTGCTAGAACGTCTGACATTGCCCCACAGGTGTCTGAGGCTCTGCTCATCTCCAGTTGGACCTGACACCAAAAGCACAGGCAACAACCAAAAGCAAAGGCAAAAACTGACAAATGAAGCTACATTAAACCTAAACACATTCGTGCATCGAAGAACACTTCCTTCAAGAAAAGCTGCAGGTTTTGCTGCCCATGTGAGAATGCCACCTGTTTTTACCTGTAAAGAAAAGGTATCTGTTTTTACTAGCTACAGTAGCAGCTTTTCATCAATGAAAGATCTCCTGGTTGCCTACCTGGTCATTTTCTAATGCTTTTAAATGGTGTTTTAAATAATTTCATGCTGTTTTATTCTTGATTTCTGTGGAAAGGAATTACCTGACATCCTCACCCTGCTATTATCCCAGGACATATTAGTAAAGAGGAGCCGAAAAGGATTTTCTGGCAAACTAGATGTGGATACAAAACAAAGACAGTAGTCAAAGATGATCCTGAGACTTCTCATTTGAGCAAGCAGAAAGAATGGAGTTGTCACTGAAGACTATGAGAAGAACAGACAAGCGGAGGAAGGTCTGGAATTCAGTCTCTGACACGTTACATTTGAGATGTCTATTAAACATTCAAGTAGATACTGTCATGAATGTTTCAGAGAATGACAGCTTTCTTGGCCGGGAGAATGAATTAGATAACCAACAAGGTTCCCTCAAAAACTCAGTTTGGATGAATTCTACACCCAGAAAGAAATGGTTCAGTAATACTTGTTATCAAAGTTCAGAGAAGCAAAAGCTCACTGAAGCAGGGGATGAACAAAGAAAAAAGACTTAAAAGATAAAACTGAGATGGCCAGGCAAAAGATGCTACGCAAAGGGACAAAGAAGGAAAAGTAGAATAGAAGTGTGGGAGAGAGGAGAAAGGAAAATGAAAGACCATACTAATGAAAGCTTTCTCTAATGAAGAACTGGAATGTAAGATTACACAGTACCAGGCTTAAGCAAAATATGACAAAAACAAAGCCTCTAAATAAGTCTGCACAGTATATATACAAGACTATACATAATTAATACCCAAGGAACACACAGAAACTATACATAGACTGACACAGAAGTACAAGAAGAGGAGGCTTTCAGAAGCAAATGATAAGATAGCTTGAAGATGACACTAAGAATAGGACTTCCAAGCGGAGATGCCACTTAAGAAATAATGCAGTTCTTTAGCAAACTGGTTAATTAGATTATCAATTATAGTTACCAACAGGTCTCTATGGGACTAAAGGAATAAAAAAAAATTTGGATCCATGATTTCACGTAAGCTTCACCAATTCCTTGAAAACAACATACCAAAATCTGGGGATTTTGGTATGTTGTTTTCAAGGAATTGGTGAAGCTTACGTGAAATCATGTAGAGTGAAATCATTGTAGAGTTCGATACGGTTCAGATAAAATAAAGATTAAAATGTACTATAAAAGTGGGAGGAAAAAAACTTGTCAGACTTGATAAGCCTAAAAAAAAAAGTAAGAGATATCACTATAAAGATAACATTTTAGGTGTGCTTTACAGAATAATTTTCTTTGATGAGATGGAAATGGGGAAAGGAACTGTAAGCTGGAAGGACCTGGGAAGTGAGAAATAAAGGTGCTATGGTATATATCAGAAGAAGGATCAATGAGACAAGGATGGAATGTGCTAATCAGCAAATTCTGATCTAGTGAAGAGTACTAACCAGATTAGAATTCATGAGACCAGATCCTAATTCTTCTATTAAAAAAAAAGAAAGCGCCACTTGTTCTTCATTATCTCATTTTTTTTCATTTGTATTTCCTCTCAAGGGTTTTGATAAAATAAAAATGCAGGTAAAAGAGTTCTGAAAAGAAAAACACTAGGCAAATTCATGGCAAAATTAGTAATATACAAATCATAAATCCTTTAGCTAGTGTATATACTTGTAAGTCAAGTTAACATTTTCCATGCTGCTTCTGCTAGCTTTTTATCCAGACTACAATTCTAACAATTAAGGGTTTATTAATGAGAATAATAATTATTGTACTCTACCTTTGCAGTCAGGAGTAGGGCTAAAAGAAGAGTTCCTATCACTAACAAAAATATGATGAAAATGCTAATTATTTTATCTAACATCTTCTCCAACCAGATGATCATCTGCACAAAAATGAAAAAGAGAATTACTTATCTTTAAAGTAGAACTTTAAAAATACAGATACTCAATTATCATAAAGACAAAACAGGATCTTCAGCATGGCAAAGCAAATTATGGCATAATAATTAAAGCAATAAAAGCTTTAAGCAACTTTAAAAACTTCACAGTACTCATTACTGCTGGTGTTACATAGTTTATTACTGTCATAGCTAAGAAAAAGGCAGTCGATTTCAACATAACCTTTATCTATATTCAAATTCTCAAACTGTAGGATATCTATGTTTCAAATTGTAATTTATAACCTGGTAAGTATTCTAAACAAAATATTGACAATCCATTAGCTGACCTAAAATCTCATGAAGCTGTATAATCAGTTTAACAAATATCCAAGACTTTAGCAAAAGTCTCTTATAATACAGGCATGGCCTAAAAAATACAGATAAAATTGGAGCAAATTAAAAGAGGAGTTGCATTCAAAATATTTTTTCCATTTGATATCATTAGAATTACAAAAGCAGTAACAAAGAAAATCGAATGTTAAGGCAATGATAAATAACAAAGATAACAGTTGCCCAAGGAGCGAGGGGTTGGGAGGTGAATGCACAATCAAGGAGGGGCACAAAACACGCTTCAAGTTAATTTGTTTTATTAAGGGGGGAGTCACCGATAGATAAATGGGTATTCTTTACATCTTTTTATGTTTGAAATATTTCATAATACATACTAAAATGCTTTTCAAAATCTGATATTCTACTTGTTTCTATTATTCTGAAAACATAAGCTTTATGACATGATTGTAATTGATATAAATTAATCAATATAGTAGCTGTTCCTTAATCAATAATTAAAATTGTGCTTTCCCTAAATGCTATCTGACATTGTCTTGCTATAACTTCCCTCATCTTTCACAACCACAAATAATCCTACATTTTAAACAACTTGTGTTTTCAGAATATATACTTGATAGATTGCTAGAATTCCTTTCATGCAAAGCTACCATCTAACATCTCAAAATTACATTTAACTAGATTAATAACTGCTGAAACACCACAATGCACCGCTCAACCCCAACGTGAGCAACAGCATTGCTTAATACGTTATTCTTAATTTAGATCTGATTTATGCTCTCTAAACAGTGAATTAAACATCCAAAAGCAAAGAATGTTGGTTGAAAAAACATGACTTCTGTAGCATTTACTTTCACTTGACATTTATAAGCTTGTGCCCTCCTTATTTGTTTTTCATCAAGGACACAGTCACTAAGAGATCAACGCTAAAGTGAACTCAAAGATAAAAAGTTAATCTTTAATCTTGACAATTACAGCTTCAAACAGAAGAATTAATTTTCAGTGCATGCTACCAAACCATCAAAGACAATGCAGACTAAAAAAAAAGGAGTAACAGGTTTCTAAGATATGGAAGGTCAGATGTCATATTCCGAAGTTAAATTCTAAAATCAATGAAACTGAAAACTTTCACAATTAGAAACCAACTGAAAAACTAGTTCCCGAGGCAGCTTCCTGAGGAAAGAGCTAGGTTTGTATCACTCCTCTTTGTATCTCCAAAATCTAAGCGCTTAGCATGTGGTAAGCATTCAATTACTATGTGTTTGAATAAGCAAGCATAAATAAAATAATTTCAAAATTAAGCTATATTTTTAACCACAAATTACAATTTCTGAAAATAATGTAGGAGCCTCTATTTTTTTCAGAAAAGTCATATCCTGAAATGCATTTTTAAATGTAAATGATATTCTATTTAGAAACATGTTTGAGTATTTTTAACATATAAAATTATATTCAAAAGAATATTCAAAAACATATTATGTACATTGACATTACAATATCAAATTTTTTAGTTTTAAGTTAGGGTAAAATTTTTCTAACACAAGCCATAAAGGTAGAAAAAAATTCACAGTCACCTAAATAAAAATGTATATCCAAGGGATGACAGTGAGGGTTGGATGTTTCATTGAAATTTAAAATAAACAAAATTATTTAAGATGCTCAAAAAAGAAGCTAAGAAGTTGTTTTCATCACATGTGGCCAGTTAAGTTAGCTGAGAACAGGACAAGAAGGGAGACAGTAAGAGAGAGGAAAGAGTGGGAAAGAGAAACAGAGACTAAGACTTATTCAAGAATAAAAGGAAACAGAGAAAGTCAAGAGGAAAAAAAAATGGGGATGGGGGGAGTTGGTACATAAAACTAAGGACCAAAAGAGGAAAAAAAGCAAAGAGGATAAAAAACTTAGGAGGAAAAGATGAACCAACTCCCTGAAAGACTGAATAGTACAAGACTCACAAAGAAACAGCAACTCGGAGAGAGGAAGAGAAACAGAAAGAGAGGAAGCAATGGAGAAGGGGACCAAAGGCCAGAGGTGCTATCTCATGAGGCTGATCCTGTCCCACGTTCTGCTTTGGGCAAAGGAAACCAATCCACTTGCCCTCGCATGGAAACTACCAAGTCTCTAAATGTCCCCAATCTTTCCATGCTGAAAGACTGAGAAGTGACTTTAATTTTTAAAGTTTATTTTTCAAAAAGAGAAGAGAAATAATTTTAAAATGACACTCTGAATGTTTCAAATTAGAATGAAGGGCATGCGTTTTTTAAATTTAGAGATGTCAGTAAATTTATAGTTACACCAAAAGGTACTCTAAAACTTTTACACTAACTGGCCTTATTTATCAAGCTATTAAGAGAGTATTCCACTACCGAGTTTTTCTTCTCTTTCATTATTCTGCGCCTACAGATTTTTCATTTTGCTTTGTTTTTAAACAAAATTCCACTTGAGTTTTAGTGCAAATAATCAATACTAAGAAATAAAACAAGGCCAGGTGCAGTGGCTCACGCCTATAATCCTAACACTTTGGGAGGCTGAGGCAGGCTGATCACTTGAGCTAAGGAGTTCAAGACCAGCCTGGGCAACATAGCAAAACCCCGTCTCTAAAAATATAAAACATTAGCCAGGTGTGGAGCCTGTAGCTCCAGCTACTCAGGAGGCTGACGTGGGAAGATTGCTTGAGCCTGGGAGGTGGAGGTTGTAGTGAGTCAAGATCACGTGACTGCACTCCAGCCTGGGTGACACAGCGAGATCCTGTCTCAAATTTAAAAACAAAAAAACAAAAAAGGAAAAGAAATAAAACAAATAACTCTGTGGGTTACATTTCAATTAACCTATGTATGCTCTCTCACCCTCTCTTCTCTCGAATTGGTTTCCTAATTCACTCCACTTGAAATTTCTACATACCAAAATTACCCAGTGCTGCAATTTTCTGACTTTGAGATGTGATGTAATATAATAAAATAGTTCTCAACTTATGTATGTCCTTTCCTGGAATATACCCACTCAAAATCTCAAGCAGTTACTCTATCTTTACACCAATGCTTTACTATGTTACATGGAATCATCAAAGGAAAGAAAAAAGGTACTTGATCTTAGAGATCTTTTAAAATTAACTCAATGATTCAGTTATGAATTAGGCTCATAAATTAGGTAATCTAGCTCATTTAGTCCACTGAAGGTTAAATCAAATTTAATCCAATGAATTTAGTTCTCCTTTCCCCATCTCTTGAGGGCAATTTCATTTCAATATAACACAAATTGAAGAAAAGTACAAAACCACCTACTTTGATCGCTTGAGCCCAGGAGTTCACAGTTGCAGTGAGCTTTCATTGTGCCACTGCACTCCAGCCTGAGCAATAGAGCAAGACCCTGTCTCTAAAAGATAATTGAAACAAATAAAAATTTTTTAGAAACCACCTTCTTTGGTCAAAATTTTAAAACGTGACATATTTGCACATCATTTGCCAAGGATTGAACTCGCTTACCCATACTAGTTTTATAGGGAATGGAGATATATATACAACCATGTGAGACTGTGGGAGTGTTTATTTTACATAATGCTTCTTTCCAACCCAAGTTTAAAACTTTAGGTATTGTAAAAAGTCTCCCCTCTCCTCCATTTCAACAGAAAAAAATGAAATCCTAACCCATCCAAAAGTCTCATTTTGATCTATTTTCAAGAAGTACATCTTTCTTAAGGCCTGATATAATATTTCCACAAAAGACATATATATAGAGAGAGTTTTATTATGTTTAAACACAACATATATAAATGATGTCATCTCTTGCTATCTGTCCTAGAGATTCATTGAAATTATTATCATTTTTTTAAGAAACAGGGTCTTGCTGTCACCCAGGCTGGAGGGCAATGACGCAATTATTGCTCACTGCAACCTTGAATTCCTGGGCTCAAACAATCCTCCTGCCTCAGTCTCCTGGGTAGTTAGGACTACAAGTGTGTGCCACCATGCCTGGCTATTTGATTCATTAAAATTAATTTAAACATTACAATATGTGACTATATGTCAAGGTAGAACATTCCTAATATATCTGGATTAGCCTTTACTGAAGTTATTAAAACTGAATTATAATGCCATGCCAATATCATGTGAAGCATTTACCATAGATACAACCTCATACCTTGGAGAAAATACAAAATTCGATGCCACAGGTCATGACTACAATCTGTTTTAAGTTAAAAATAAATTTTGAAATACTAGTTATTTTAAAAAAAGACAACATATAAAATTATCTGCCAAGGAAACCATACAAATAATTCACAGACTTGTCTTTTTAAAAAATTCCTGTGTCTTTTATAGAAAAAGTAGCAAACAGAGAGTTCTCTCTTGCCCTTACAATAACTATTGCCTAACGTGTTTTCACACATCAAAGGAGACTAGAATGTCAGGCTAAGCCACATTTACATAACTGAAAAGGAATGAAAATCATTTACAGTGGACAAAAGGACTAGGAGACAGAACTTCTTATACTTGAGCAAGGAGATGCCATCCATATCATAGACAGCCTTTGCTGAGTTTTTAGCAAATTATACTGTGATAGTACTCATGCTTCACGACCTTCCATAGCTTATAATTAAAACTTGAAAACAAAAACTTAGTTTGACACATGGACAGAAACAGAGTGAGAAAGGCGATATGGGGGCATTACAGAATTCAATAGTAAAAACCAACATCTAGGTGTTCATTTACCTTCTTATTTAGCCAGTGCCAGAGCTTGAGGATAGTGGGTAAGGTGAGAAAGAGAAGATAAGAACAGTGGAATATCATTAGAGAATGCAATCACAGTATGAAAAGAAAAGAAAAGGAAAGCATGAGAAGGTAACTGTCCCAGACAAAGGAAAAACTAGGGATGGAAAAACTAACACAATAAAGTTTTAAAATCAAGAGAATTTTAAGATATATAATGATTGAAATGATAACCACATCTTTGTTGGGAATCCAACAATTAAAAATACATAAAATAACCTGCATGCCCATAGGCTTAGTGTCTCCATGCCTTTGCACTGCTCCGCCTGCTTGCCCTTCTGGCCATGTCTACCTAAGAAACTCCCACCTGTGCTTCAAAACTTGCTCCAGGATCATTTCCTCCGATGCCGTTCCCTTTCTCATACCCTATTAACAGTGAGTCATTTCTTGCTCAGTGCTGCCACTGTATCCTGTACACACTTTTCCTACATAAATTCCTAATACTTACATAGAGCTTACTGTGTACCAGACAATGATCTAGGGATTTTACATATATTACCTCATTTAACCCTTACCACCACTCTAGGAGGTAGGTTCTATTGTACCTATTTTACTGGTATGGAAACCAACGCACAGAAAGGTTAGGAAACTTAATGGATTCATAGTCCATGCTCTTTAACCACTAAGACTCCAAATCTAACCACCATCTCTGAATTTTTATGAATTGCTGTCTTTCCCCAACAAACAAGGCTTCTGTATCTGGTTTTCCAGGATTCATCTGATTTTCCATAGGACTTAATACAGTATCTGACATATGGGAATTACTCCAAAAATACTCACTAAACTGAGCCACTGCCTAGCTACATAATTTTAGGCAAGTCGCTTAACCTCTCTGGATTTCAATTTGGTCCTAATATAATAAGGGAATTGAATCAGAAGATCCATTTCTCCCATTTTTATGAGGAAAAAATACTTACACAAGCCTTATTTAAAGTAAACTCATCTTATCCTTGTGTAAACCATAATTTTAAACATTAAACTTTCATCATAGAATTAGATATTACACGTGTTATCAACAGTTACAATATAAACACATGGAATGGAAGATTTCAAACCATTAAATATATTAACTCCATTAAGACAGCCCAAGTCCTTAAAATACAATACCTTGCTATCAACTTTTAATAAGAATTTTCCAAGCCCGACAATGGGCCAAGGTGCGAGAGCCCCCTGCCGCTCCTTCAGGAAGCTTTCTGTAACACCCCACCACACATGGTAGTGTTTCTCCAGGAAGTCCACAACTCCAAAGTGAATGACAAGCTTTTTGAGTATCCAGACTAAAAAAAGGTAAAAAATACAAATATAAACAAGATATACATTAACAAGTTGTAACATGAAAAGGTTCCTTAATTTCACATGACCTTTCTAAAATAGTAAAACTAGTATTAAAAAGAAGATCAATGTTAAAATGCAGGGTAGGACTCAAAGTATTCCACACAGATGGAACTGGACAATGTAACTTTTCAAACCATCCCCAACTGCCTATATATTATCTTCTTCATGAAGTCTGAATCCTTGAAGAGTCTGGGATTATGTTATGGCCCATATAAACATAAGATACTCTTATTGTGAAGATTTCAGTGACTATAATTCTGGCCCCTCACATATTTTCTCCCTTCCTGAGTAAAGAATACAAAACCCTGACGTTTCCTCATCTCCTTGGCTTTTCAAATTTTCTTGTTTTCCTTGGTTGCTCGTTATTTAGTGACCAGAAAAGCATAAGGTATTCCATACGCATCATGATTTTGTACCACTGCAGAGCAATGTTGTTCCTATTTCCCCATTTGATGCTGCTCTCAACATCTGAACAGATGCCAGGGTTCAGTAGAGAAGCAAGCTGAGTACTAGCAGGGCTGCGACAAATGGCCCAAGGCTGTGCACTGCAACTTCAGTGGGGACCACTCTCAGACCACACCATCTCCTCCTGGAGTTGGGCAGTGAAGTGGCCTTCAAGCAGAGGTTAAGCTTCCTGTTAGCAGCCAATTAAGAAGGTGGTAGGGCCAGAAGGAAGTGTTACTCAACTGTGAGGCTTGCCTTGAAGTTTGGACCCCGGATCTCAATCAGTATATAATTTCTCTAACTCTAGAGATTTGTGTTCTTAGCTCTGGCCTTATAACCTAAAGGTTCACAATTTGCTGTTTTGAACCATGAGCTCAGTGTTACACACAAGTTCAACAATTCCTTTACTACCATTTTTAAATCCCTAAAAAAGTCCTAGAAGAGCTCCTATAGTTTCACTAAGTCCAGGTAATTACAAGCTGTAGAGAAGCTTTTAGGGGCCACATTATTCACAGCCTGCTCTACCAAGATCATGTCAAATTCCTATGGTGACCAGAAGATTAAGCTACAACTAAGAGAAATGAAATTCCTGCTAACAAACTTTAAGGAAAAGAGAGTTGCAACAGCATCTGACAGAGTTTGCCAGCAGAGTAAAATCATCTGGAAAAAAACAAAGTATGGAACAATCTAGAAGAGCAATTTAAACTGCTCCACTCAGTTTAACAGGAAGCACGGCGATGGTATCTGCTCTCTGACTTGCTTAATTAAAGCTGTATCTTATTCGAACTGCCTAACAGAAGTTGTTTGAGGACACAAGAACCAGATATAGGACGGGCACGGTGGCTCACACCTGTAGTCCCAGCACTTTGGGAAGCCAAGGTGGGAGGATTGCTTGAGTTCAAGAGTTTGAGACCAGCCTGGGCAACATGGCAAACTACAAAAAATACAAAAAACACAGCCAGTGGTGGCCAGGTGCAGTGGCTCACACCTGTAATCCCAGCACTTTGGGAGGCTGAGGTGGGCGGATCACGAGGTCAGGAGATCAAGACCATCCTGGCTAACACAGCGAAACCCCGTCTCTACTAAAAATACAAAAAATCAGCCAGGCGTGGTGGTGGGCGCCTCTAGTCCCAGCTACTTGGGAGGCTGAGGCAGGAGAATGGCGTGAACCTGGGAGGCGGAGCTTGCAATAAGCCGAGATCGCATCACTGCACTCCCACCTGGGCAACAGAGCAAGACTCTGTCTCAAAAAAAAAAAAAAAAAGCCAGTGGCACGCACCTGTAGCCTCAGCTATCTGGTAGGGGACTGAGGCAGGAGGATCACTTGAGCCTGAGAGATCGAGGCTGTGGTGACTGAGTGACAAAGTGAGACCCTATCTCAAAAAAAAAAAAAAAAAAAAAACCAGATACACACTTCAACCATTTATATTGTATGCTCCCTGAGGACAGGCACTACTATACTGTGCTCTGGTCATAATAAATGTTAAAAAAATAATGCCTATTCAATTAACTATCCAATTTAGTGAGGAAAAATAAAAATAAGTGATGAAAACTAATGATCTAGAAGGTAAATGCGCCAATGAGTTTAGACTTTTAGACTACGGTGGAGAATAGCTTTCAAAAATCAGATTACGTTTTAATCAATATGAAAAACCCTGACATAGGAAATAAGGAGTAATCAAATGTAGGAGGTACCCAGATGGCAAAATCCACAGCAGCCATTGAGGACTCAATGAATTTGGCACAAAATATGGCTGCCGCAAGAGGAAAGCCCAAATAATCAGGAAAGTATTAGGTAAAAGATGTTTCTACAATGCACCTGTCAGAGAAAACTCTTCTTTACTCTTTCTAGTCTTAGAAGAAAGACAGTTTTAGACAGAATTAAAACTGGTGGGCCTTAAATTACCACAGCATTAAGATACAAAGACCTGATTTAATGGATTATGGAAAATCATGATTCCATTTTGATGTAATACATATAATATATACATATATGTAATTTAATTTTTCTGTCAAACAAATCACAAGACTTTACATACATATATTTCTCAAAACCTACATTTCCTTTGAATTAAAAAGGCAAGGTAAAATGTGCTTCCCTAAGAGTAGCTCTCAAAAATCATTCAATCTCAGCTGGGTGCAATGGCTCACTCCTGTAATGCCAGCACTTTGGGAGGCGGAGGTGAGCAGATGACTTGAGGTAAGGATTCGAGACCGGCCTGGCTAACATGGTGAAATCTCATCACTACTAAAAATACAAAAAATTAGCCAGAGGAGGTGGCGCGTGCCTGTAGTCCCAGAAACTGAGGAGGCTGAGGTGGGAGAATCATTTGAACCCAGGAGGCGGAGACTGCAGTGAGCCGAGATCGCGCCACCGCAATCCAACCTGGGTGACAGAGCGAGACTCCATCTCAAAAAAAAAAAGAAAAAAAATCATTCGATCTTCAAATTCCAAAACACAGATGATTGTTAACATTCTCCTCCACAGAATCATGGATGGCTAATCAGTCAAATCTCTACATGGAGCTATTAATCTCAAATACTACATGAAACTGTAAGAGGCTAAACACATTTTCTGAGCTTAAAAGTGAAATATTGGCTGGGCGCAGTGGCTCACGCCTATAATCCCAGCACTTTGGGAGGCAGAGGTGGGCAGATCATGAGGTCAGGAGATCGAGACCATCCTGGCTAACATGGTGAAACCCTGTCTCTACCAAAAATAAAAAAAATTAGCTGGGGATGGTGGCGGGCACCTATAGTCCCAGCTACTTGAGAGGCTGAGGCAGGAAAATGGCATGAACCTGGGAGGCGGAGCTTGCAGTGAGCCAAGATCACGCCACTCCGCTTCCACCCTGTGTGAAACTCGGTCTCAAAAAAAGAAAAAAGAAAAAAAAAAGTGAAATATTAAAGATGCATCAAAATAATAAATTAACAAAATGGTGTTTACTATTTAAATGCAAACGTAAGACTGTTTTACTTTGCAAGACAGTAAATTTATCTCAAATATTAAAATCCAAAAGTAAAAAAAGAAGAAAAAAATCTTCAAAGACAAGACAAGATCGTACTTAACCAGATAACGACCTGCAATCGGCACTGGCAGCAACTGTACAATCCACAGGTTCAACCAGATCTGCACGACGACAATGGCCCAAACCAGAGAAACGAAGTAGATGTCACTAGTTTTCTTCTTTCTAAGAAATGTTCCGATTTCAGGCCTTCGTCTGCCCAGAGTGGGTGAAGGGGAAGTGGGTGAAGGGGAGGAGGGTGAAGGGGAGGTGGACAACGTTGGAGGGGATTCTCCCCTGTCCAATGCTTCTGAAAAGGGAAAGAAAAACACCACACACCCTATTAGTCCACATGAGGAAATGGGATACAGAGCCACTCGTTAGGCTAGCCTGTTTCAGGCCTTCAAAATGTGCTGATATGGTATGATTACATTGGGTTAAAAAAGACAAAAATATTTGGACCCATGTTTGCATATGCACTGAAAAACGTGGAGAATCACAATGCCAACAGAGCTTGAATCTAGAAGAGTAAGTTAGTTGGTGATAGAATTGGGAGTCATTAAAACAAAATACATGACAAAGTAGCTGAGAATTATAATTATCCCATAAAACTTATTCAAACTATTTAAAGAAACAAATGCTAACATATACTAGAAATTCTATATTTAAAAATCCCTCTTCTTTTAATAGAACTTTAGATTAGATGTATTTATATCCGTTTCTGACACAAGAAGACTTTTCAGTGTTATTTCACCTAAAATGGAACGAACTGATCTTACAAGAACCCAGGGCTTTCAAACAGATAGAAGATATAAAACATGAGTGAGATACAAAAACAATGACAGATTTCTCGGGTGAGGATTTTCAAATAAAGGAAACCATACTGGATTATTTCACATAAGACACCATTTCCTAACAATACAACCACCATGTTACGTTTTACTATAGGGTGTTATTATTTCTATTTCCTAGTTTTAATAAGATATACCACATACATCAGAAATTACATAACTCCTAAAGCAGTATTACTCTATATATACTATAATAATGAAAATTATTAAGATCCTAAAACTTGCATTTTGCCTTCCATTAGAAAAAAATGTTAACTACAATAAAGTATGTCATGTTGAACATGTGGATTGTTAATTACAAAAGTATCATATGTCAGAAAGTCTAGAAAAAAGAGAAAAGAAATAAGAACTCCCATAATCCCAACCTCACATTTTCCCCCTGGTCTTTTACTTAGTCGTAGCATGTTCTACTTATCCTTTCTCATTCTTTCTCTTCAGCTGAACGTCAGCTCCACCAGAGCTAAGACCTTGTCTATTTTGTTCTCCCTCCACTGAATTCCTGGCACATACAATAGTATCTCATATGCAGGAGGTGCTCACTAAATATGTGAATGAATGACTTCCCTGTTGTTTCATAATTTTCATAAGCAACCACTCACACAGTAGCCCACTAAGTGCTGTATCATAATTTCCTTAATGTTTTTCATGTTAAATGTTCAGTTATTAATAAATTTTTACTACTGAGACCACTTGCACCCTGGTAAGTCAGCTCACCTCACCAGGACCAACATTCTACCCTTACAAGTTCAGGGCTAAAGCCCAAGCTAGTTAACAGATGCTTTTGTTTGACTCTGCTCTAAGTAGCTTTCTAATTTGGAAACTTCATGTTGATGGGTGTGACAGATATTTGGAAGAAAGAGTCCAAAACCAAAACATCATTTCCTCTCCACTTTGGAAATATAATTCCATGTGCAAGAAAAATAAGTGTTCCTACTACACCAAATTCCTTTCTCTTAGCTGACATTTCGAAAGTCAGTTCTTCAAGGAGAATTCACTCTAAATATTCCCTAACTCCAAATACCTCTGGCACTAATGGACCTCTAAGCACAGACTAAGGTGGCCTTTTACATTCCAGAACTCTTCAAGAGAACAGCATGACTCTATAGCTGGTATATCTACCAGCTGGATCCCTCAGGAGCCTGCAATTCCCAAAGCCAGGCCACACATGACAATGAGTCCAAAACAATCAGAGAGGTCTGTTTTAGGGGTCAACATATTAACACATGAAGCATGCAAACTTTCAGAGAAAGAATGACAGAGAAATGGATGACTGCAACATGGAAAATAAAAGTCCTCCCCAAAAAGAGAGCTGGGAAAAGGGAACAAAAGAAAGAAAAAACAACAGGAAGAGACAGGGTAAAATAAAATCATGGAGGAGAACTGACAGTTGTAGAAGAAAGAAATGGAAAATAAGAAATCAAGATAAGATATGCAAAAAGTGGAGGGAAATGTGGGAAAGGTAAATGGAGACTGAGAAAAGGAAAATAAAAAGAAAGGAATGAAGAACAGAAGAAAAATAAGAAAAGCCTTTTTTTAAAAAGGAAAGAACAAAGAACTAAGATCAGAAACTCAAAAAGGTAAATAATTAAATGTATTTAAAACATGATATATGAGAACAAAGATGAGAGGGAAAAGGGCATAAAAAAAGGAACCAAAGAGAATAAATGAAGGATCAGCAGAAGTAGCATTTTGTGATGCTAGTGTCCTAAATTTTACATTCTATGTACATTTCATTTTCCAGAATAACCTTGAATGTCACCAGAACATCAGTCACCTGCAGGCTGAGTGGAGAGCTGGTCTTCACTGCTTGATTCATACCCTGTGATAGAGATGGCCAAGTTTGCCAGAGTAGAAGCTGCCATGGAGATAACCTGCCCTGGTAACTCTGCCCCTGTAAAAGAAGCATCCATTTTCAAAACTCTTTAAAGTGGGAAATAATGGCTGCAAATTTAAACACAGTCCAACGTTTTCAACAACAACAAAATAAAATGGTTACTACTGACCCACTGAATAAGTGGTTCTTCACCAAGGAAGAACCATTAAGAATCGACATGAGAGTGTGCTAAAAAAGCAAATCCCTCGACTTTCTGTATACCTTTCTCCTTTGGGAACTTCATGCTGGTGGATGTGGCAGACACTACACATGTAAATTTGGAGTCCCACACTTATATTTGTTAACAAGTTGATTTTAATGCATACTTCTATTGAAAAACACTACCACATCAAGTCTGTGAGCTCCCTGATCTGTCTTAGGCTGTGTTGTATGACTAGGTCTCATCTTAGTACAAGACAGCCCACATTTGGTGATCATAATAAAAACATTCCACAAATGAGTATGTGAATATATGGGTATTATGCAAAACCATATAGATCTATAAATTACATAACTCAGTACAGGCAAAATCTACCACTTTAAAATCTAAAGGAACAACATGACCTTGTTTCATGTTATATATTTCCATGTTAAATTCCTAATAGGTAGTGCCAACCTCAATCATTTGCACTAAATTCAAGCAAAACATTCACTGGCAAAGGAGGTCTGTCAACCTTTAACCTTCTACAGCAGACAAGGAAGAATAGCTCACACATCATCAGGTTCTAGCACACTTTCTTGCACACTAGACTGGAGAGCTAAAAAATTGTATTTTTGGATTCCCCTGTAGCTAAGGTCTCACACGTGACAGTTTCTAACAAGCAGGTACACCTGTGCAAGACTTGAGAGCCTGAAGTGGCACACTGTAATCTGGAAGCCACAGAGCTCTTGCATCAAACACAGTCTGTCAGGAAGGCACATAGTTTTTCTGCAGCAACTTAGCAGAAGTTCTGATGTCTGATCTCTAACTTCACGGTGAGCAGCAGCAGCCGTGGCCCTCTGCCCAAACAGTCCTTCAGTGTCACTGAGCATTTCTCCTGATTGCACTGCTTCTGCCTGTGTCATATTCCAAGATTAGTTGTCTGGTCTTTCCAGAAATTCCATGTGCAAAAATTGTAAGCGCTAACCAATACCTCCTACTATTTATTTAAACTACCTGGAATAGATTCTATTGTTCACAACTAAGAACACTAGCAATTCCTAGTCACCAAATCATACACCCACACTCATACAACTGAGACATTATTTTTGGTAGGCCAAGACTCAGTATGGTAACATAGGATTCTGCCACGCCAATGAAAAGAGCCATGACCCTTCAGAAAGCCGATGAATTTCAGCTCCAAATTAACTCCACACACCCAAATATCCAAGGCTGGCCCTTTCCCAGAAAGCAGCAAGCCAGAACCTGAGGTGGGGCTCTTTGGTAGATTCAGACATCAGGATAAGAGTACTCACCTTGCTCAATCATACCCTGTCCCTCCTCTAATAAATGCCCCTGTGACCTGAAAGAGTTTATTTTTAGATATGGTATCATATCTCTCAATATTAGAGAAATTCAAACTCATGGTCTGAGAGGAAAGCATAAGTTAGATTTCTGGATTAGGACCTTACTCTCCTGGCCTGTGTACCCAAGGTCCTCCTGAAATGCCAATAAGACAGCAAGGGTTGACAGAGAAAAACGGTTTTTCATTTCTTACATGTACTGTGTGCTGGGGAGAAAGACACAGACCCTGCCCCCAGGGAGTCTAGTAAAAGACATTAATTAAAGAACCACACAAATAAATGTGTGTATCCAAATTATGGTTGCTATTAAAAAAAAATCCTGGGTATCTTGTGACATCCTAACAATATCCTGGGCAGAAGGAAAGCTGTGAGAAGAACCCAGCATATTGAAGACAGTGAAAGAAGGTCAGTGTGTCTGGAACACAGACAGCTAGTAAGAAACTGGTATCAAATAGACAAGGCTGGAGAGGTAAGCCAGATGATGCAGATCACAGAACACTGTATGAAGGACTTTAGTCTTTATTCTAAGAGGAAGAAGAAAGCACTGAAGAGTTTCAAACAGGATAGTAGTCTTTTTTTCACTGAAATTTTATTGAGATAAAAGTATACTCATATGCAGTTGCAAGAAATAATCCCAGTGTACCACCATTTGTCCAGTTTCTCCTGACAAAGATACAGAACAGCATCATCACTACAAGGTCTCTCATGTTGACCTTTTATAACCACACTCAACTGCCTCTCACCTCTCTCACCACCCTGTAAATAAATAACCCGTTTGAGATATAAGACCATTCCTGCTTGTCTGGAGAAAGAGAGACTAGAGGGGACCTATAATGGGTACAGGGAGATAAGTTGTTGCAGTACTATAGGAAAGACATGATGCCAGCATAGTCTATAGCCACAACAGGAGAGATGGGGAAAAGTGGCTGCGTTAAAGAAACATAGAAGAGTCAAAGTGGACCACACTTGGTGAGGAAGCAATAAAGGGAATCAAAGAGATGATGGTATCCAGGTTTCCAGACTATGGTTAGATAGAGAACATGTAGCAGAACTGGATGAAGATTTTTGGCATATTAGAGTTATTTTTAGACTTTCAGATAGAAGTTCCACAAACAGGCTGGGTGCAGTGGCTCATGCCTGTAATCCCAGCACTTTGGGAGGCCAAGGTGGACAGATCACCTGAGGTCAGGAGTTCGAGACCAGCCTGGCCAACACGCTGAAACCCCGTCTCTACTAAAAATACAAAAATTAGCTGGGCATGGTGGCGCATGCCTGTAATCCCAGTTACTCAAGAGGCTGAGGCAGGAGAATCGCTTGAACCCGGGAGGCAGAGGTTGCAGTGAGCCTAGATCGCGTCACTGAGCTGAGATCACATCATTCAGCTGAGATCACGCCAGTGAGCCAAAATCACACCACAGCACTCTGCCTGGGTGACAGAGTGAGACTGTCTCACAAAAAAAAAAGAAAAAAGTTCCACAAACAAACTGACCTATACCAGAGATTGGGCAAGACTTAGCTTCACAGCAGTACACCCAGGGGGGATCTTTTAGGCCCCACTCAAGAGCAAAGTTTGGGAACACCTCATGGCCTGGGACAATACAGTAGAAAAAGGAAAAACAAAAACAAAGACCTTCAGGTCAAAAATTTTAAAAATTAAGAATTCTCTCTTACATAAGATTACAGACTAGTCAAGGGTCTTGAATTACTAAACTGGCCTCTTCAAGAGTAATTTAATTAAGTGGTCACTCTTCGTCACTCATCTAGAGACACTGTAAGAAAAGTAAGTCCCTGGCCGGGAGTGGTGGCTCACACCTGCAATCCCAGCACTTTGGGAGGTCGAGGCGGGCGGATCACAAGGTCAGGAGATCAAGACCATCCTGGCTAACATGATGAAACCCTGCCTCTACTAAAAATACAAAAAATTAGCCGGGCGTGGTGGCAGGCGCCTGTAGTCCCAGCTACTCAGGAGGCTGAGGCAGGAGAGTGGCGCAAAACCAGGAGGCGGAGGTTGCAGTAAGCCAAGATCACGCCACTGCACTCCAGCCTGGGTGACAGAGCAAGACTCCATCTCCAAAAAAAAAAAAAAAAGAAAAAGAAAAAGAAAATTAAGTCCCTTGATGGTTTTTGCAAAATAACAAGATCATTGGATAACTCTTCAAATAATGGACTTTCAGTTCAGCTGCATTTTAACTTACATTTCTAAATGCCTACTAAGCATTCACTCACCAAATAGGCGAATAGGCTATATGCTGATATAAGAAACTAAGACCCTGGTCTCAAATTCAGTCTGATACTTAAGAGCTAATATAAAGTAAGTGTAAACCGTTAGGGAGCAGTTTGGAAATCAAACCTATGCGGGGAGGTCTGGGAAAGGTTTCCAAAGGGGCTGTCTGACAAGAATATTGAAAGATGCCATCCTTTAAATCCATTTTAACAAAAGTGAGCTAGATAAAGAAGACAGAACAGTTCTACCTCGGAAAGGAAGCTCCTGAGAGACTGGTGTCTTAGAGGGCAGGGGGAGAAAGGTGTTTCAGGAAGACAAAAAAGCAGGTGTGAAGACACAAAGGCAAGCAAAAGCAGAGTGTCCTCTTCAAAGAACTCTAGGAAGTTCAATCAGGCCGGAAGATAGTGTGAATGAGAACAGCAGAGTAGTATAAGAACGCAGAGGGAAGCTGGGATCAGGGCACGAAAGGTCTCACATTTACTATGAGGAAGCAGCACGATTCAGTGGCTGGAAGCACAGGTGAGGAAAGAAGACTCCCCAGGTTCAAATCCCAGGTCTATTCTTACTACTTAGATGGCTATAGGCAAGTTAGTTAACATCAAGATGTCCCAGTCTCCTCATGTGTAAAAATGAGGCTTACATAAATTTGTATCTAATGTGACAATGAAGTGAAACAATACATATAAAATGCTGGCTGGGCACAGTGGCTCACACCTGTAATCCTAGTACTTTAGGAGGCTTAAGGCAGGTAGATCAACCGAGGCCAAGAGTTCTAGACCTGCCTGGCCAACATGGTGAAACCCCATCTCTATTAAAAATACAAAAGAATTAGCTGGGTGTGGTGGCACGTGCCTGTAATCCCAGCTTCTTGGGGCTGAGGCAGGAAATCACTTGAACCCGGGAGGCAGACGCTTCAGCGAGCCAAGACGGCACCACTGCACTTCAGCCGGGGCGACAGAGCAAGACTCCATGTCGAAAAATAAATAAATAAATAAAGTTTAGAACAACGCTGGGTATGTAGGAAGTACTCAATAAATGTTAGCTATCATCATCATCAATATCAATCTATTGGCTTTGACAGTATAAACTAGAAGTAGAAGTCACTAACACTTCTATAGTATTTCTTTGCACCTCTCCTCCCCTTTCTACTTTATATTATAGCCATATATTTTCCCTTAGTAGATATTTTTAGATCTCCCCACAAAGCTAAGCAAAGTATCTTGTATCTATAGAGTAGGCACTGAAAGATTCGAGAAAAAGCTAAAACCAATCAATTAAATCTTCAAAACTG